CAGTATTTTTCTTCCATGTTTTTAGTTTGTTTTAATCCCAGATAAAACTCTTCTCACAATCTTTTTTCTTTTTTACCCCCAGCTGATTACTGGCAATTTGGAGGAGGACTGCTCTTTATCTGCTGTGTCTGTCACTTCTGGAGCAGAGTCATGGACCTTTTGTTGTATGTTTTGGTTTTACTTATTATTACACTAATATAGCTAGAATTCAGAATTAAAATACATATGTTTGTCTACATATATAATCAGAGATACAGTGGTGGCCAAAATGATTAGAACACTAGTATTTTCAGCAGCTAAAAAAAGGTTTTAAGTCAGTTATTTCTGTATTTTGCTGTAGTGTGTCAGTAGGAAATATCAGTTTACATTTCCAAACATTCATTTTGCCATTAATTGTAATAATCCAGTGAGATTTTTGTCTGACAACAGCCAGTGCTCCACACAGAGATCTGATCTGATCATCATCAGTCTGTCTGGAGTGACATGAAGAAACAGAACAAACTGAGACAGACTCAATCCAGAAGAACTGTGCCAACGTCTCCAAGATGCTTCAAGAAACTTCAAAAACTTCAAAAACTGTCAAACATCCCAACATTTGGCAAAAAGTCTTGACTTAAAGGTATAGTGAGTTTTTTCTGTGTTAAAATGCTCTTTTGTTTATTAATATATGTATACAACAAATTGTTTGTAGGTTGATTTCCCCAAAAGATGCAATAATGTGGCTTTGTTTGTTTGAGAATTAGCCAAACTGACACAACCAATGATATCAGTCAATTACAAATAAAGGGGCAGGACAGTCTGTTAGCCCAACCAATGGCAGATTGGGAAATCTGTTTGAAAACAGTCATTATTTGATTGTAAATTATTGATAATATGTCTGTTGCTCCCCCTTCCCTGTTTGTTTGTTTGAATGGATGTTATTTTGTTCATCTAAAGACAATAAAAAGTTGATCACGTTGAAGTCATTATTTTTACTCTTCTGTTCAGTGTCAGAGAAATGGTAAATTTCACCATTAATGTCTACCAATCTTGGTTTGAACAGGTTTAAAATGCTGAAAGCATCATTCTTTAACACAATTTTACACTAATTTCTCTTATTCATACATCTACATCAATGGTTCCCAACCAGAGGGCCACAACCAACTTCTAAAGTGACTTGAAGTAGAGCCCTGCACGGACCTCAAATATAGGCCCTAGCCCGGCCCTTGTCCGATAGCTTATCAGAATTTTTGGCCCCGAGTCCGACTGGAGCCCGTCTTTTTTCTCCGTCTCCTGAAACTGCTTATACTACTGTTTCAGCTATTAAAATAGTTCAGTTTTGTATGTAATGGCAAAGTGATTATATTTCGTTCGTTTTTTTTTTTTTATTAAGTTAATTTAGAAAAACGTTTGGAGCATTTTTTGTTCGTTAAATATAAGTTTTTGTTTTTTAAAGTAACGACCAAGCGGCCAGCAGCAGACAGTGAGTTGATCATAGTCTGTTTGATCAATTTTGCCTTCTCAAATCATCACGAATAAAATCTATAGATATAAAACAGTTAAATAGCATATAACAATGTTAGTTTAAATGTTAAAACTAGATAAATGCACTATTAGGCGCATATCAAATCGTTTTTGCGGAGAGTGGAAGCTGAAGCGCGCTTTGCAGAACATGGAGGCGCCAGCGCGATCACTTGCATTTTTTCAGTGGAAACAACTTAAAATATGCCGTCATTTTTCCTCATAAAGGTAGAGTAATACATCATTCAGAACTGTAAACTACTTTTATTTGTGTGCACTCACAATATCAACAAAACGTTGTGCTTTTATAAAATAAAGAAAACAAACAGGATGCGCTTTCTGCCGTCTCGGTCTTAAACAGGAGCGCTTCACAAAAATGAACCAAAACTCAGCAAATACATGCCTCGCAGACATGATAAAGATATCTATAGAAAGCTTTAAATTACTGCTTAACGAAATAAAACAAATTGAAAACAAAAACTCTTTCGTAAAGATGCATTTCTCTCTAAAGGCTCGTCCAGTGAGGAGATGGCGAGTCAGGATCGGCAACTTCATCCTTGCGACACTGACTCAGAAAACACTAGTTTATTAATAAATAATTCATGGTAATTATTTTGCTGGTGCTTTGCGGCAAGCTTTAGACTGTTGCGTGCGTTTGAACGCAGAACTCTTCAGCTGCGCTGACGGCACGCTCGCTCTGCGGGACACTAAACACTAAACGCCGTCGAGTAGCACGGTCTCGTGTTGTTTCCACCAGCGCGGCAATTTTTTTCATCACTATAATTGATGGATGTCTAAAATATAAAAACAAGGAGAAGCCTAAAACTGGCCCGATGCCCGGCCCGCGTCTGAACTATGACGTAAAATTTGGGCCGAAGCCCGGCCCTAGAGGCGTAAAAAAGTCGGGGCCCAGCGGGCCCGGGCTGAAATGCAGGGCTCTAACTTGAAGACTTTCTTGATTTAAAATAATACAAAACAAGCATTAAAATATGCTAAAACAAAATTGAGAATATTTTTATTTTTAATTCATTCCCCTCAATAACTGTAAAATTGGGATATACGAGGAAGCCTTATTTTAAAAGTGTTAAATGATTTCTAAAGCTGTAAAATTCACCTAAATTAATAAAATCCTTAAACTCTATGGACATTTTTATAAAGAATATACATTTTTGTATTTATGCCAAGCTCTAAAATATTTTATTTAAGATAAATTGTGAATACACTTTTTTTTTTTTAAATCCCTACCCTTAATCCTTGTCCAGTCAACCACAAACAACTGGAAACATAATATAAATGAATTGGTTAAAAATATCAGGATCCTTAAAGAACATTCAGCGCTTAAAACTTCTGAAATCCTAAATCTGAATTTACCTAGAAATGTCAGGAACATTGTTGGAAGCAAAGGAGGGCCTTAGAGTAAATAAGGATGAGAACCACTGACCTACATCCTTGTACATGTTACAAAATGCTACAAGATTCACCTAGTGTTACACAAAACAAAGCATCAACAAGTAAGTGAACAGTGAATATTACCTTGAGCTCAGAGCCGTAGTTCTCCACCTCCTGGACGTTTGTAGGGACCGTGTGAACCTCACGCAGGCGATTCTCATATTTCTTCACTACATCTTCTGCCCCTTGTGTGTTCCGGATCACAATTTCTATTGTCTTAAGTCTACAGAAAAAAGTATTGCCTTCATCTAATCTTATGCTTAAGATTATTAGCACATAATAATACAAACAAACGAATAAGAGACAAAACATGAACATCAAGCAGCAGTAGATTTGCTGTGCAAAGACAAATGTGACCCTGGAGCACAAAAGCAGTTTTAAGTCGCTGGGGTATATTTGTAGCAATAGCCAACAATACATTGTATGGGTCAAAATTATCAATTT